ATTCACGCTCGCCTGCATTTCGGCTGTGGCCCTAAGAAAATATTATTCTTTAATTTCTGCGCTACTGCATTTTGTTGCCATTCAGTTAGCTCGTTTTGGCTGGGTTCGCTTCTTTTTTTTTCGGCTGCCAAAAGGCATAAATATACAATGCAGTTCTGTTTTTTTTTTCTGCTTGCTGCTACCTATGAGTTACCGTTAGTTTTGCCTTTAGCTCGGCAACTGCTTTCCAAACTTTCGATTGCTTCTTTTATGTATTTCATAAAAAAAAAACTTAAGAAAAAACTCAAATTCGTTGCATAAGTTTGGGCGCCATTGCCATAACTTTCCAATTGGCGCATAAAGTTTTGCTTTACTATCATGTAAGAATCTTTTTTTGTGTGCTTATTTTTTCGTGGCTTTTTGTGGCGTCTCAAGCTGTTTAATTGTGAGGCAAATTTCTTGGTTCATTGAATTTCGTTGGCTGCAAAAACTTTGCGTGGTAGCTTGATGTACAATGTTTCCACTCGCAGATAAATTTTGCCATAAATTCGCAAAGTTTCTCAAAGAAAATTTATGAACGTTCAGCGGTCACAAGTTAAGCATAAAATAATCGAAGTTCAGTCTCATATCACAAATGATAATTATATATTTTTAATTTTCCAACAGAATTGTGGTATTGAATTGTGCTGGGGCTAAGCACATAAAGTCTGTCGCGGAATCCTTGTAATCGTTACGTGTAAATATTTTTGCCAGAGTCGTAGCTGCATTAATCATATGAAGCGCGATTTTTTGTGCCGTCACACAGTGCGTATGATTATTACCACTATTATTAATATTATCATGTGCCCGACTGCCAATGCTCGCGGCTTGTTTTTCGCCTTCCCGTGGCTCGTGGCTCGTTGCCGTCGTCATTGCAATTATTTAGAAAATCAAAGCACGTGCGCGCTGTGCTTTTATGCGCTTACGTGTGTGCCTCTCCACGTGTGTATGTGTGTGTGTGTGCATTAAAATGCTTTGAGCCGCCTCGCTTATTACGCCACACACACACGCACACACTCATAAAAAGAAGGAACTGCTGGAGACGGGCACAAAGACACAAACAATGCGCAGTTGTTGACAGCTTTAAGTTGTGGGCTTTGCTTTTGTAAAGTCATATATAGCTTGTGTGGACTTTAAGGGGGCGTTGCCATTTCCTTTCTAGCTTGGCGTAGCATAAAAATATAGTTGAATTAGGCTTTGAGTTAAGCATTTTATGACGCCTGATAAGGTGTTAAATGTTAAGAGGAAAATGTGCATAAACTAACTAGGATAATTTTCTGGGATTTCGTAAAATTTTAAAAGCAAATATAAATGTTCAATTTAACTGATTTTCAGTTATTTAAAGTATTTATGTTCTTATATATTTAATTCAATTAAAAAAATACTTGTTATAGCTTTTATATTTTTGGTTTATGTATTACTTCTCTTTAAGTTCAATAAGCGTTCATTGTCACATCAGAGCTTATATTGCTTATCTGATTATGTTTAAGTCTAAAGTCAATTTAGAAGGTAAAGAAATGCTGCCAAGCTATCAAAATGATCTATAACCCAAGCCAACGTATCCTTCGTAGTCTCCTCAGATAACTTGTAAGTTTTATCTATCTCCTGCTCATTTATCTCCTACTCATTTGCACCTGCTCATATAACGTCCTCTTACAGCCCTTATGTAAATTGAATGACCCTTAAAACAGTTTTAAAAAATTGATTTGGCAACAGTTGGTTGCGAACTTGTTCCATAATATGCTTTTTCTAACCTTAGCATTTAACGATTACTCCGTTAACTTATTTTAGCTAAGTTCTTTTTATGTAGGTCTTAAGTTATTTTTAAGCCCTTACTTTGCTTATTAAGTCACTTGTTTTTTAACGACTAGACATTAGAAATTTTAAGCTAACAACTTTTAATTTCCCAATGCGCTCATCCCGGCAGCTCGGGCTCCTCCATTAGCATATGGACTGCAAAATGCAGACATAAACAAAAGTTTTTTGTTGTTAATCCACACGTTCGCTAATGAAATATCCATTTGCCCCACGCCTTTGACAGCCTCTTCCTGGGCTTCTGACAGACTGATTATATGGAGAGAGGGAGAACAGGAGGGGGAGATGCTGTGCGGGTTAAAGAGAGAAGCTTATGTCTTGTCGGGATGTCGGAATGACTGGCTGCAACTTTTGCGGCAGCGGTTTTAATTTAAATTGACAACATCAAGCAGTTAAGTACTTGCAGCGACATTTTAATAGCTTGTAAGCCCCGAGAGTACCAGGAAAAAAGCGGGAGGTGGCGGTGGTACGTGGGGAGAGGGGCGCAGCTTGGTGATCCTGAAAAAAAGACGCAACGGCACAAGCTAAAGGAAATAAATACAACGGACTCTTATTTACATATTCCCAAACGTAAATACGCGCCATTTTTATTTGCCCGACTGCTTTTTTATATTTGGGCACTCAACGAATCCTGTGAATCCAGCATGGCCCCCCCCCTTTTTTTTAAGTTCTGGCTTGCCCCTTGCTTTTCATTTTATTTTAAAGAAAATTTGCATAAAGTGAAAACAAGCATTTTAATTTTACTCGACGTAGTCAAAAAATGAAATGTACGAATCGCATATACGAGTTGGTAGTAAACGTTGGCATTTACCGTCCGTCCCCCCTCAGACCAAACCCTCTCACGACCTGGACCCTGTGTGACCGGCAACTCCCCCGAGCAGTAAAAACTTTTGCGAGACGAAATCCATTGCAAAACAGGTTCAGTTACAATTGTTAAGCCGAACTTTAAATATCCTAATTGATAAATCTCTCTATGCCGATCATATGTCACAGGCAAAGCCTTCCGATATCTGCATCATATACTGATTCTATCTGATAGGAACGGACAGAGATATGCCATGATTTCTCTCTTTCTCTCTCTCTCTCTCTCTCTCTCTCTCTCTCTCTCTCTCTCTCTTCAGTAACAGCTTAACGGCAAGTCTGTAAATCATATTGTTTTTTCATCCATTACCCATGCGATGATAAAGTGCAAATACTCTTGGCAAGTGTATGGAAGCTAGGCGGGGGTGTGTCAGCAGTCGTAATTGTTGGGGACCTGGAAAAAAGCGCAATGCCCACAGACAAAACAAACCAATTTAAATTAGACTACCCGCTGGGCCATTGGGGTTCAGCGTTCGGGGGCTAATATTTGGGGAAAAGTGTTGAAACTTTTCTGAGCTCCAACTTTTGACATTCGCAATGCACTAAATGTAAATGCCTGAGCTGTTGTCAGAGCTGGAGCTGGTCCGAAAGCCATGATAAATGTGCATTTTATTTTCACGGGCGGCGGAAGGGGGCTTCATTTCACAGGAGCCACGTACTCTATGAGGTGCCATTATGAAAACAATTTCGACAGATAACCGCAACCAGAACTTGAATTCGACCAACATTTGCTCATTTAACTTGCGAGCTTTAGGTTGAGGAGCATTATTTGAGCTGGGACACATGCCACGCTGGCAGTTTAATATAATTTAAACCTAAACACATACCACAAGTCACACACTGAGTGTGTGTGTGTGCGAGTGTGTGTATGTGTGTGCCTGTCAGGGGTTATTTGTGTGCGGCTGTCAAGTAGCCAGCCGTCTGCCTTTTGACGCTGTGCCCCATAAATTACCAGGCACTTGGCAGTGCCAGCATCTTCCCAATTTGGTTAGTCATTTGCCTGGGCCCCAGGCACAAACAAAACTATTAAGTGGGCATAAAACTCTCTGGATATGTGAATTAAGGGAGTGCGACGTCGAGATGCCAGAGAACCCAAACTGAAGTACCGTACACAAATGGCAGACAGTGTTTCGGTGAGTTCTACGAGTATAGCAATTCGAGTATTTCATGTTCATTTAGCAACCCCCCAAAGAAGAACAAAAAATATGCAAAAAATCCAAATGGAACAAACGCAAAAAGTCTAAAAGGCTCTTAACAAGTATCTATATAAATATAAACTGAATATTTAAATAGGAATTTATAGTACTATAACAATATATAATATAAAAAACTAATGGATTGGTCAAAGCTCCTAAAATTCTCTGCAACAATATTAAATAGACAAGGAGAGAGTTTTAATAGGTATCTCGTTTACCTTTCTTAAAGACTATATTAAAAGAATATAGTTAAAGTAGTTAAGAAATTGCATACCAACGATAAAAGAGGACAGATTGCAGAAATTACTTCAATGTAGATATGTCCAGATTGAAGCAGTTCTTTAGCAGCTCATGTAAATGCCTTATAAGATTGAAAATATCTTGTGAATTTGTTAAATCTATTTAAAAGAAATCGTATAGATTTCTTAATTAATTTCGGGGTACACAAGATTTTTCAAATCGCTTAGCTTTAATTTCGATTATTTGGAATACAATAAATAACAAATTAATAATATTTCTCGCACAAGCAGTTGTATTAACTGTTGTATCAATTTAAATGCAATTACAGGGTATCTATAAGTCTAGGCCCATTCATTGGCTGTCAGTGGACGTGCCGCCTGTTAATGGCATTTTTGCAGTTTATTTGCAACTAATTTTGCATTGATTTCAATACAATTACATTTAATTGCTCGATTCGTGTTTTATTTAATTACTTTGTTTTCAATTTTCCATTTCTCCTTTTTTCCTACTTTTTTGTCACAATTTATTGGCTTAATTGACGAAACAAATCGAATGCAAACGAAATACGTGGCCAATTGATTCAGTTTCGGTTTCTGTCCTGCATATGCAATGAAGTCTGGGCGTTGTTTTAATTGGATGCTGGCAAATCGAACTGTCACATAAATAAAATATAAAAATAATATATAAAGCATTTATTTGTTTTAAAGTAAACAGAGGGAAAAGCAAAGGCCAAGCAAGAGAAAAAGAAAACTTTGTGGCAGCTTTCAAAACTTTTGCCAAAGACATTTTCAAGTGCAAAGTTTTTGCCAGCCAAGTGCAAATCTCCTGGGGCTGAGCCACCGGTTGAATTGTTTCCACTCCAAGTATAAGCTATGGGCAGATATCATCCTCAACCCTCTCCACATCTTCTGCTTGTTGTATTTAGCGTGTGTTATCAGCGGGGGGATGTAGTTCAAGGGTGTGTGTGTGAGCTGCAAGGGTCGCATGTTGTACGCTGATTTCGAGGTCTAAAAAGTCAATCACAATTCCCAGTGCAATCAGAAGACGTCGTATTAATATTTAAAGAGGTCATCGGAATTGGTTTCTACTCTCACCCTATGCTCCCAGCTCCCAGCTCCCAGCCTGTGCTGCAGCTCGCCAGATAAGATGGGCAGAGAAATGTAGCAATTTGTGGCCTGCAATATTTTCCACTTATTTGACGATTTGTTGCAGTTAAGTGGCTGACGGGCTAAGCAACCCTCAAGATACAATTGTATCCTTCAGCCATGGTCTTTCTTTATGTCTGGCAATTTGGGCTTTTATGATTCGCAGCATTGTCTCAGTCGCTTTTATGAGCGCACATCGTTGCATTTTTAATGCCAGATTGAATTCACATTTGCATTCGCTTCGCTGCTATTTATGCTTTTCCGCTTTTCCTGCACAATGACAGCTCTGCTGTCTGCTAGCTGTCTGGACGGAAAGTTGTTTTTTCTTCTCCCCACGTCCATCCGTCTGAAAGTGAAAACTTTCGCTTTTTTGCGCATTCTTCAAGTTGCGGCTATTCAATTACATTCAGTTGCAATCAATCACACTCAAAGTTCAAGAGTTTTTCTCTGCAACTGTGGAAAAGCTTTTGTTTGTTTTCCTTGTAGCTGTCATTGACTTGCAGCTGTGTGTGTGTGTATGTGTGTGAGTGAGTGTGTTTTAAGTATTTGCATTGGAGTTATAAGTACTTTTGAGTAGTTTTCTCAAATACTATTTATCATGTCTTTGAGCGAAAGCAATACATTTGTGATAAATCTTTGTTTATTCTTAATCCTAATAATAATATCAGCAAGCGCTTGGCATAAAATTCCTTTTATTTTACAAGAGATCTATATCAATTTCATTGATATCTGCTTTTCGTATTTTCTTTCGTATGTATATTCACATATTGTAAAATAACACACATACAATCAAACAGTGATTTATTCTCATTTAGACAAATTTTCAAAATATTTCAATTAAATGTGGGCACCGAAATCGACTGACATGAATTTATAACATAACAATTATTCTGATATATAAATATTGACCAATATTAATATGTTGACAAGGCTTTTATAGAAAAGGTTACATGATTAAAATTAGTTTTAAAAACATTTTTTAGGTACAATAAGTAAATATTAGGGCACATTATAGTGTATAATAAAATGGATTAAATATTTAAGGCAAAACAAAGATTTTTTTGGCGCCAAGTCTTGACGTTGCCTTCGGCTTAGCTCGATACTTCACTTAAATGCTCTTGAACGAAAAAAAAAAAATGCTTCCGAGAATCTCATCAAAACTTGTTGCTGTTTCATATAAAAAATTGTATACTTCGCAATTCGTGTAGTTTTAATTTTGTTTATCAAGAAACTTACAAGTTTTGCATAATTTACACAGCCCGGCTCTACTTAATTTGAATGCCAACTTTTAATTCAGAAAAACCCCCAAAAAGAATAAAATAAAATTATGAGAACAACAAAAAAAAAAAAATGATAATAAAAATAAATAGTGAAGCAAAGCAAACGAATTAACACTTTTTTGGGCAAAGTCCGCTCTGGGATACCGGTTGCCCGTGGCCCCCAGTGCACACTGCACAAGCATCTTGTGTCGCCCGCACCCCTCTCCCCTCACACCCCGGGCAACTTCTGATGGCCCGCAGAGCAAGTTTTAGGCCGTGGGGTGAATTGCGAATCCGGAACTTCCGTGCAGTGCTCAAGTTCTGTGCCGCCGGCTGTGCGCACGAAGTCTGTGAGTGCAGCCCCTGGATGAGGGGCTGCAGCGGGCACTTGGTTGCAAAAATAAATTTGTATTGTTTTTGTTTATGTGTATCTGCGTGTGTGTGTGTGTGTGCGTGTTGCTGTTGTTGTTATAGTGGCTGCTGTTGCTGGTGCTGCTGCTGCTTTGTTGTTCTGGCGCGCCAAAGAGCAAACACAGTGAGCGCAAAAACCGCAGCCACTAAATGCATTAAAAGCCAGGCTCCATGAAATGGAGGCGTTGCAAATTGCGGCTATGTGTGTGAAAGTGTGTTTGTGTGTGTGCGATTGTGTGGGTGTGCCTTGCCCTCTTGTGTTTGGCTGCGGTAATATTGTAACGGCTTTTGTGTCTCGCAGCCAAGTTTCGAGTTTGGCATTGTTTTCCTGCACGGATATCCTTAATGAGTAAAAACTGGGCTAAGGCATGGGCGTTTGGCTCAGGCCACAGAAGCCAGCAGCAGCCATCATAATTACCCCAGCCCGAGTAATACGCCTCCACCCCCGCTATCCCCACAGCCGGTCCCCTGTTCAGCTGACAAAAACACACTCGACACTCGACGACGCGCCGCCGCCTCCGTACTTCAGTTTTCTGTGCATAAAGTCCTTTTGGGCTGGCCTGCTGCTTATGCTTCTGCTTCTGCTTATCTGACCACATGCCACCACATAAATCTTGGTGGTGTTTAGCTACCCTAACCCGCGGCCACGCAGTCTCCCGCCCCGCCCTGCCGCGGCCACCTACTGTTACGCTTGTGTAATTATCATTGTGATCACTTTTCAGCAGTGGGAAAAACTTTTGTATTAAAAGTAAACTTATGACAGGGCGAGAAGCACACGCCAAGACCAAGGCTCTGACCAAGTTGTTGAGTCCTGCCGACAGGACACGGTATACATCGGACTCTGTAACAGCAGCAGCGGGCACACACACACACACACACACACTCACATGTTGCCACTGGCCATTGTCAAGTGTAATTTATCATTCAGTCAACGTCCTTCGATTGCAGTTTCTCATCCAAGCCACCCCCTGCAATCCGCACGGCCCCCTTCGCCCCTGCTCCACCCGCAGTCTTGTGTGAAACTTACTTAACTGGGTCGTCTACTATAATTTTTCTCTATCTTTTCGCTTTTGCACCCCAAGCCCCAGTTAAAGGAAAGCAAAAGCTGTGCAGCATAAAAAAAAAGGAAGGAGCGAATGGAAAATCAGTTCCCGACCTCAGGTTGTTATTTTTCTTGGCAGGACTTTAAAGTCATTGAACAGGGTGTAGATGAGGGGCCGCCGGCTTGGTAAAATAGCAATTAATGTGGATTTGAAGTTTCTACCTGCAATAATCGGAAATAATTGAAGAAAATAGACGAGAGGGAGCAAAAACGTAAAATGAAAGAAAAGAAAATCCTGAGAAATGTGCATAGTTCATGGGGCTCTTTGAAGGATGTTTGTACGTGCAATTTGTAACGTTTTAATTGTTGTTTATGTAGCTGCAGGCTGATGCCCAGACCATGAGAAGGGGGGTGTGCTTGGGCGGCAGGGTGAGAGAGAGGGCGAGAGAATTCTGATTAGCTGCTTGACTGTGGTTGAAGGGGATTTAAATCGCAACCACAAGCCACTGGGGCTAATTTTGATTGTGGTGCTTGTGCATGACATAATGGAAATGACATTAGTTTCCAATTAACTGGGCCAACCATGTGGGGTTCATGAAATGAAGGAGCTATTCATGAGAGTATAAAGTGCGAAAAAAGCGAAATTCAGATAATTTTAGAGAAGGAACTTATAACTCAGAAAATAATTAATTTTGGTTTTTATTGTCATTCCTTTTACTTTTATTAATTATTTTATTTATATTATTGATATTAGTCTGTTAGTTTATATGGATTATGCCAGCACCATTTACATTTTTATTTGTTTTTTTACTTCAATTTTTAGTTTTTAATGTAAACAATTTTTCTTTAAGATTTTTATTTTAAAATTGTTTTAAATATAGAGTTGTTTTTATTTATTATTATAAGCAGTTTAGTCTTAGGGTCTTTATATAATATTTATTGTTTTTACTTTAAATCTGCTTATCGACAATTATATTTTGATCAAATGAGTTCGAGTTTTTAATATATATATATATTTACAATTTATTTCAAAGAATTATGTATTAAACTACTTATTAATTATTTTATATGTATTTAAATTAAGTTATCTTTCAAAACTCTTTTTCCTCGACAGTTTTTTTTTCTTATGGTAAATTGCAAGGGCTAGTTGTTCCAACAGCTTCAGTTATTTCAATATTTTCCAAAACATGCATTGGCATCTAACGGCTTTTTCACCCGCATATTTCAAAAATTCCACTCGTTACTTTGTCCAAAACTCTCAACATTCTCCCAGTGAGCAGAATTCGCTCAGCTGAATTTGTAAGCGCTGCGAGCACCGGAATTTGAAGAGCTCCGAAAAATTGTGAAACTCTTTTAGGCAATGCGCAGACTCAACAATTTCTTGAACGCCGGCTGAATTCAGCAACAAATGTTGTTTATGCTGCGAAGCTGTTGATAATAAACAAAACGAAACGCGGCAGTTAACAATAAAAGAGGACTTTATGCTAATGATAAAAAAAAAAGATATTTAAAGATTGAGACTGATCAGAAATTTTAAGAAAATACTGGAAAACAGAAAAAAACGAATTAAAAAACTGCATTTATTTTTTTCAAATTTTCTAGAATATTTTAAGTTTATTTAATTTAATTTAAGCACTCGAATCACTGTTGAGCTTGGAGCTAAGCTTACGAACAGCTGATTTGTGTGCTGCACGCCGGAATTTCGCTCGTACTCCGAATTTTCAAGGCGCACGAAGCAAAAACAACGAAGTTACGAACCCGACGAAAAACTCACCACTCTCGGAAGAGACGGGGTCTGGGGCTGGTTGCTGCTGGGGGTAGGCAGGCATAACTGTTAACTGTTGGCCCGTTGGCATTCAGTTGAGTTTTGGTTACTGCCGCCAACGGTTAACGGTTTGGAGCGAGCCACGCGTTCAATCACTGCCACATTGCCACTTGCCACAGTCGCAGACGCAGCGGCATCTAATAGAAACAACAACAACAAGAAAAGAAAAAAAAAAAAAAAAACAAAAAGGAAAGAAAAACATAAACAAACAATTTGGCAAAGTTTTGGCTGCCGGTTACGGAAAACGTGTTGCACGTCGAGTGTGCCGTGTATTTGAATTGAATTAATTTGCGAGGCATCGCCAACATGCGAAACTCAAGTGGCCACCAGGTGGCAGCCGCAGCCACGACGCTGATGCGCCGCAAGATTTTGGTGGCAAACGGAAACGCAAAAGCAAACGGAAGCGGAAGCATTTAGGCAAAGTGCCTGCTTTCTTGCCAGCGGCAAGCGCAATGTGTGTGTCTGTGTGAAATGCTGGGCAAACTGAGCACCTAGTAAAAGCCGGCGACCTAGCCAAAAGTTGCATCTGAAACTCGCAATAAAAAATTGAATACGAATACTGATAAAAAAAAAATAATAAAAAACAACCTCACAGCAGCTGCACATCCTTGGCGATCCTTTTGTGCATGTGGTGTGCGTGTGTAGGTGTGCCTGTGTGTGTGTGTGTGGCAAGCAAATAAATGCTTTTGCAACGCTTTTTTAGCCATTTTATCTCAAGTCGAAATACTGTAAAAAATTGTAAAATGGATTTACGTTTCGTATTCATCGTTTTCCTGCTGAAGTGGACGTATGCACAAGGTAAGACCATGTTTGGACTCCTTCTACAACTGTGTCTGTGTGTGTGTGCTTTATGTGTGTGTTTTGTGTGTTATAAGTGTGTGTGTGTGTGTGTGTGTGTGTGTGTGTGTGTGTGTGTGTGTGTGGGTATGTGTGTTTGCTTGCCCATTCTGTTTGTGCAGCAGCAGCAGCTGCTGAAGTGCAGTTTCTCGCATTTGTTCAAGTGCTGCTGCTGCAATTGCAAATATGCCATAGAAAATGCCTGGTAGCTCGACGTTATATGAGTATTTATTATATATACACTAATGTGTGGCTCTTTGAGTGTGTGCGTGTGTGCCTCAGTGTGTGTGTGTGTGTGTGTGGCACAGTAATGAGGTGCATTTAGCTGAGGTAACAGAGCGACTGGCCCCAAAGTGTGTGTGTGTGTGTGTGTGTGTGTTTTCCACTTGTCGCATTTGTGGTAAAAGTTTTGCAGCACAATCCAAAAAAGAAACTTTTCAAATGCACACAGGATTTTTTTATTTGTATGATTGATGTTGGTTTTGCTGCTGAAAGGCGTAAGG